CCCCCCACCCCCCGCCTCTACCCCTGGCCTACCATCAATGGCAAAAGGCAGAGAAATGTGTCTGCCTCCTGGTTCCTCCCCCACCCTTGACTTTTTCCGGTGCTGTGAGGCAGTGGGGGAGGGTGGCTCTCACCCTTGCTGGGGACTCTGAGCTGGTCTACTAGGTGACTTGGGCTCAAAGATGGAGCACAGCAGGTTTCTGGTTGGCCTGATACTGGCTGCCCTTCTCCCCCAAGGTAAGGTTTCTGGAGGTGGGTGGGCATTTGGAGAAGAAACTTGAGGAGGACATTACCACTGAGAGCATGTCCTGTGAGGTCCACTTGAACCCACATCGCAATGCTAGCATTCATCAGGCCTTTGGGGTCAAGAGGAGAGCAAGGTTGGGAGCTAACATACGCAGCAGCTGGGCCACACCCATCTGATCAGTGCTAGCTGGGGCGCTTCTCCGCCTTGGATGGCGCTTAGAAGCCTTAGGTCAAGACTTGCAGGCAATGGCGGTGTCTGTGTGTGCCTGAGCTTAAGGCTGGTCATGGGAGCAGCGTTGCATGCAGGACACCTTCGAGGACAGGTAGTCCCTGGGATCATTTGGCCACTATGACACCGCCACCCTGAGCAGTGCCTTCAGAGAAAAGTTAACGGGAGTTTGAGGAGGAGGAAGGGTAGTTCTGGGAGGTGACTGCATGCAGTGGCTGCTTGCCTGGGACTATTTTGGTTTTAAATGTGAAAGTCCCACATCTCAAGAACTCCCTCATCCGGCACAGGTGATAGATCAGTCACTCTAATAGTCAGATGCACCAGGACCCTGGCATCTGCCCGTAGAACCATGAAATACCTGATGTACACGTATCTCTTTGCTTCTGAGTCACAAGAAGCTGCTATCTGAAAGTTTTTCTAAGAGGCTACTCTTACATCTTAGTTGGTAACAGAAGACGAAACTCGGGGAGAAGGTAAATTCCACTTTTCCCATGTGTTGAGGATACAGTTCCAGGGGGCTGGGAGGGGGGGCGCAGTTGGCCGCAGACTGTCAGAGCAAGTTAATGGATCCAGACAGATGCTGTGCTTACTTCCAACACCTCCGCTTCACGAACTTGACTTGTGGGATGACATCCAGAGGCTGGAACCCCAAGAATGGATTTGACATAAATTTCCCCATTATTTCAGCTGAGGTGGAATACTTAAAAATAGTTACGTGGGATTTTTTCCTGAGTTCCCGCTCGTCCATTAGATTTGTAATCCATGCCAGATTCCTCCCAACCTCCGACCATCGACCATCGCAGGCCCATGTAATTGCTCACTTGTAGTTGTTGTCATTGTAATTGTTGTTGGGGCTGGGGCAAGGGTCAGGAAAGCGGGTGAGAAGGTGAAATAGGAGTGTTGCAGGTGGTTGGGAAAATAGGACCAGAAGTTTTTGTAGAGGGAAAAAACGGGGACACCACCAACCGAGGAATGCTCTCTCGACTCTCCCCATCCCTTGGGTGCTTCAGCCTACGCTCCCCTCTCGGTGGTCTGGGAGGGCTGTCCGGTCAACACGCCTCGATGGATTTCTCTTTGGCGCTATGTTCCTCCGGTTCTACGTCTGACTGTATTTTGTGTGCTTGCTTCTCCAGTTTCTGGGGAGCGTTCCAGGAATGCTCCTTCTCCTGGGACAGTTCCTCTCCTAGAAACTCTATGCTGATATGCTACCCGAAAGTGGGAAGCTCGTTTGTCTAAAGCATGAGCCTCCGCAGAACAAGGGTCTGGTACAGGACAAAGAACTGGTACCTATGGTGGTACTCCCTCCTCCCCCCTTTCCTTAGCATGTCCCCTCAAGATACCAGTGGAAGAGCATGAGGACAGAGTGATTTTGACCTGCGACAACTACATCACGTGGCTAGAGGGAACAGAAGGACAACTGTTCTCAGACCATAAAAGTTTCGACTTGGGAAAGCGCATCCTGGACCCACGAGGACTGTATCATTGTGGTGGGACCGGTGATGAAACCAACCAAAATGCTACTGTGCAAGTATACTACCGAAGTATGTGCTTCCCATATCCTCTGGGGTGGACTGGATAGGACCGTGGGCTAGGAGAACTTTCTGGCTGGCAGGGGTTCTTGTGGACCAATCTCTTCTCTGAACAAGCTGGAGCCACTCTCTGACAATGTGATCAGCCCAGATTCTGGTGGAACCAGAATGGGAGGGGAAGCTTAGATAAGGGAGAAAGAGCTGTAGGGGGTCTGGTACTGGGTTGAGAGGCTGGTGTGGCCTATCTCTTTGTTTACAGTTACACCACATCGAGACCACTTCTTGGCTTTCCTAGGGGATTCCTTGGGATGGAATGTAGATCGAGCCAGGACACCAGCAGCCCTCTCTTCTAGGATCTGTGTGAAGTATAGGTCTTGGCATGCGAGGTCCTGGAACTGCACTCAGCGGTGAAGTTGTCTCCTGCATCCTGAAGGCCCTCTCTGCCCTTCTCTTCTCCTGCCAGTGTGTCAGAACTGCGTGGAGCTGGACTCAGCCTCCCTGGCTGGCATTCTCATCACCGACATCCTTGCGACTCTGCTCCTTGCTTTGGGGGTCTACTGCTTTGCTGGACACGAGACTGGAAGGCTTTCTCAGGGTAAGCAGAAGGGTGTGTGTGTGTGTGTGTGTGTGTGTGTGATGGCGATGGTCTCAAGCATCTACTAGGGAAGGAGGCTGGTGGTGAGGGTCAGTCTCGTCAGAGAGTTACTTACTTCCGTATCCTCTAAGGATTCTGACAACTGGTCATTGAGAGAACTTGTGCACCCACCTTGTGCTTGCAGACTCCAGAGGTTCTGCAATGGTGTGGCCAACTGCACTACCCACTAGCAGTATCTCTGGGGTCTCACTCACCTGTTCTCCTAGACTAGTGGTTCTCAAACTTCCTGATGCTGCCACCCTTTAATACAGTTCCTTTAATACAGACCCTTTAATACAGTTATAGTGACCCCCCCAACTCTAAAATTACTTTTGTTGCTACTTCATAACTGTAATTTTGCTACTGTTATGAATTGGGCAACCCCGGTGAAAGGGTTGTTCAACCCCCAAAGGGGTCATAACCCACAGGTTGAGAACTGCTGTCCTAGACCCTTGATGACCCCCTTTCTCTGATTCTTCTAGCTGCTGACATGCAAGTTCTGTTGAGGAACGACCAACTCTATCAGGTGAGCCCCAAAGAAGAGACAAACTGGGAAGAAGATGATGGAGGGGGATGGAGAGATAGACACTAGGTGTTAGGTCTATTTGTGGAGGTTCATGGTGGGGAATTCATCATGGGAGTTTGGAAAGATCAGTCATGAGCTCTCACCTCGGGGGCCTGCTGTTGTCTTTCCTGGGAGAGTGAGTTCAGAGCGTGCTTCACTGTTCTCCTTTCCCATTGTTTAGCCCCTCAGAAATCGGGATGATGCTCAGTACAGCCATCTTGGAGGAAACTGGCCCCGGAACAAGTGAACCTGTCTCCGGTGGC